ATACATATATGTATCTATGTATGTATAGGGTACATCAGCAATGTCACCGACATTTTAAAGCTTGAAAAAAAAGTCAGATGTAACCGGTATTATATACTTTATTTCACCGTTGATTAAACAAATGGCTATATGAACTGTTGCAGACTATTTCTAAAGTTTTGCATCACCCGAAAATTTGAGGTAATCGAGGTCTTCCCGGTGGCTTTCATGTAAGCGCTGAACACGTTCCACTGAAATTGTCAACCTAGCATCACTGATTTTCTATTCGAAACAGCATCATTCCAACAATACATGAAATGAGCAAGAAAAGCTGTTGCAATTACAAATTCACCAGTCTTAAAAAAAAAAGAAACCTTTCTCAAAATCAAACGTATGGTATGAACCGAACGAAGCGATGGTGACGACTCATGACATTTCAAAGAAAAGTGCTAAGATGAAGACATAATTACCTAAGCCCAATGAACCAAACACGTGATAGTTTAACATGTATGTATTTCGGCCACTTCCTGTATATAACCTGTGTGTGGATGATAAAATATATGCCTACATATTGTCATCCACAGACAGGGTGTTTCAAGGCTCATCAATGTAGCTAGACATCCGATTGCGTCAAGCCAGAATCGAAAACCCGAATTATTCAGTAACAATCGGATATTTTTCCCCTAAGACATCGGCACACAGTTGAAAGAAAGGCGATTTTTTAATTATTCTGTGAATAAACACGCCATTGACTGACAGTGCTCAATTCGAAGAAGCGGAAGAAGCCTTGTAATATTAGTTGTATTAGACATTGTTTACAAATACGCACTTATCTTTCAAGAGTGCACAACCGAATTTTAACTTTTTCGGTTGAGTATATATTATCATCCACAGACAGACTGTTTCGCTGTATCACAGCTCATCAGTCTGGCTAGATATCCGACTGCGTCAAGCCAGGATCGAAACCCATCTGGTTTGGCAAATTGTCGCATATTTTTCAGATATGTTATATGTACGGTGCTTATTGAAAAGCGTTCAATATCAGTGAAAGAGCTAATATATTTAGTTATGTGGATGTGAGTCTATAACACTAGTTTTCACGCTTTTGAGATCTTCAGACAAACTCTGAGAATCGCAGAAACGTGAAACCTAGTGTTCCAACCTCCCCATTTATATATATATATATATATATATATATATATATATATATATATATATATGGGGGGCATATATATATATATATATGTGTGTGTGTGTGTGTGTATATATATCTATGTGTATGTGTGTGTGCATATATATATGTGTGTATGTGTATGTGTGTGTGCATATATATATATGTGTGTGTGTACGTGTGCATAAATATATATGTGTGTATGTGTGTGCATATATATATGTGTGTGTGTGCATATATATGTGTGTGTGCATATATATGTGTGTGTGTCCGTGTGTGTGCATATCTATATGTGTGTGTGTGTGTGCATATATGTGTGTGCATATATATATGTGTGTGTGTGTGCGTGTGCATATATATATATGTGTGTGTGTATATATATATATATATATATATATATATTGGATAGATACAGCTTTAAATTCTATGATGACAGTTTGATTCAAAGCACTTCTCGCTTGTGGAACTCACGGCTCTATGATTTCTTACCAACTTTTCCTCCTAAATTTTAAATCCAATATCAATTCCTACCAACCGTCCTCCTGAATATTCTTCTGTCTTCCCGCTCATTACTTATTTTTCTATTCCTTATTCTTCCACACGCAGTACCCCTTTGTCTCTGAGTGACTTTACTCTCATGCATGGGGTCAAACTGATTAATATATATATATATATATATATTAAGAAATGGACAAGGTCCGACAATTTATTTATTAAAGACATTTTTTATGTTTAACGTTGTTATTTTTATAGATACAAGTATTTAAGCAAATGCTCTGTTTATGATAAACAGTATTAAATAACATTTACCGGCCTGAATGTCCGAGAAATTTTCATAGAAAATATTCGTTCTTTGACAGGATTCGAACCTGCATCCTATACGGAACCGTCATATACGCTGACGTGCCTTAACTCTAGGCTACAAAGAAGCGTTCAGTAGACAAGGTCGAATTTACTGCTTATAAACTTCAATCTTCCATGAATCTCGTACATTCATAACTGCTCTGGCGTATCGAATGTAAACAAATGACGTCATATATTAAGAAATGGACAAGGTCCGACAATTTATTTATTAAAGACATTTTATTATGTTTAACGTTGTTATTTTTATAGATACAAGTATTTAAGCAAATGTTCTGTTTATGATAAACAGTATTAAATAACATTTACCGGCCTAAATGTCCGAGAAATATATATATATATATATTAGTGTATTTAGGCAGCAATCCTTCTTTCATGCACGTTCCATTGATTACGACAGACACGGTGCTTTTATTTAGTTTTTTTAATACAATTCCTCAAGACGAGGATAAATTATATAAAAACTGTTCGACTGTTCGAATGTTCGTAAAAGCATAAAATTAAAAACAAACCAATGCATTTAAGGGTCACTTGACGTAGAAAAATATTTTACTAAAGTTCCCGTCTCCGAAACTATTGATATTATCATTAATTCGGTGTATAAAAATAATTTAATTCCAACTCCATCAATCCAAATCAATATTTTAACAAAACTATTGCTCACTTGCACCACTAGACTTCTTTTTTGTAGCCAGAATGGTACTATTTACAGATAAACTGATGGATTGAATATGGGAAACCCTCTCGGGCCGTGCTTCACCAATTAGTATATGTTCCATGTTGAAAACAATGTTTTTACTAAAGTTATTAAACCTAAAATATATGTTCGTTATGTAGACGACATATTTATTTTAGCTGAAAAGAAGAAAGAAATAGAAGATCTGAAAGCTACATTTCAACAAAATTCCGTCCTAAATTTTACTTGTGAACTTAATGAAAAAAATAAACTTCCTTTGTTAGATGTTTTCATCCATTTGACAAATAATACTTTTACAATTCTGTTTATAAAAAACTAAGAAGTAAAGACTCTTGCCATCTTAATTTCTCTAGTGAATGCTCTCTTAGATATAAAATAGGTGTTATTAAAAATTTCTTCACGAGAGCGCATCAGAACTCATTCTCTCGCACGCTTTTCCTTAACGAATTAAACAAATTAAATTTAACGAATTAAAGAAAAGCGTGCGAGAGGATAAATTCTCATACGCTCTCTTGAGAAAATTTTTAATAACACTTATTTTATATATAACGGCATTCACTAGAGAAATTAAGATGGCAAGAATTTTTACTAGTTGTTTTTTTATAAACAGAAGATTTTAAAGTATTATTACTAAAATCGACAAGAACATCTAAGAAAGGAAGAATTCTTAACGCTTGAAATTGAAAGAGAGAAGACTTGTTTTTTGTAGCCCTGCTGATTTCAACGGATTTTTAAGAAGGTAAAAATGTCGGATTAAGCATTAAGTAAGGTAAATAAGAATTTGAATAGTAAAAGGAATACTCATTATTGAATTAAACTGTAAACATTATTGTAAAGGATCTGCAATTCAAGACAGTATTTTTTCGAAGATTTGATTTCAAAGAAAAAAATGAAATTAATGTGAAACTGAGATTACAAGAAGTAACAGAAAAGAAGTTTTACATTAATTTTAGGAAAAAGGCGGGAAGAAAAATGTCTCTTCCTTCTTCTTTGCTGGAATGTGATCGTTGCTGTTCTTGTGGCAGCATTAATAAGCGTAAAAGAATCAAAAGTTATTCACATTGTCAACGGTCTTTACATTTATCTTTCGTGGGAGTGACTAGAAATGCTTCAGCGTCTCTGGTTGTTTGGAGTTGTTCACATTGCCTGTCGCTCTCGCCTCTACAAGATAGTGTGATCCATCAACATAATGAACCGATCCAAAGAGATGCCATTGATGTTTTGAGGGCAACCTCACTCCTTAGGCAATTCCGGAAGGTGCCTTTAAAAATCCCTAAATCTGTCAGAATCCCGGCAGTCGATGCCTTGGCTACTGCCATAGAGCAGGCACTTAACTTGATTGAGATCACGTTTTCTCTTTCGCAACACTTGTGCTCGGCATTCCTTACAATAAGGACCCTGCATCATCTGTCGCATCTATTATGAAAAATAACATTTCTTTATTCAATTCGTATAAAATAAATGATATACCGAATTTTCTAATTTTTCTAATCATAATAGATTTCATCCTTCATCTACAGTCGACGATTCTAAGAGACTCCATGCCCTTGTCAATGCTAAGTTGATCGAGGGCGATGTCTCAGCTGCAGTTAGAGTATTGTCCTCATCCGATACTATACTAGCTACTACAACAGAAGTTCTCACAGAGCTCCGTCGGAAACATCCTGCGCCACCATCAGATGTCAGATTCGTTCAGATTGAAAACAATGATTCAAATATTGAAATCTTAAAGGAAGCAATGGTTGCCGCTCTGAAGTCTTTCTCGGGAAGCAGCAGTGGAGGTGTGGACGGCCTTCGATCTGGTCACATCAAGGACAATTGCTGCCCACACTGCCGAAGCTGGTGAACATTTGAAAAGTTCCATAACAGCTCGTATTTATATCCTTTTCCGAGCTGAGATACCCCAACATGCTTGCGACTTAATATTTTCAGCCAACTTAACGACTTTAAAAAAATAAAGACGGAAGTATCTCTGGTGGGATCTTTTTTCGTCGTCTCGCGGCAAAAATTGCTTGTAGAGTTGTTGTGAAGGAGATAGGGCATTATATTGCGACCTGTCCAGCTCGGGGTAGGCATACAGGGTCGATGTGAGAATATATCATGTGCTTTCCCCCGTATCTTATTAATATTGGATATGAAAAACGCTTTCAATAGCATCAGAAGGGATCATGCCCTGAAAGTTTGCCATCAATGGACTCCTTTCATATTTAAACTGGCTCATCTTCCATAAAGTCATCCAAGTATGTTGATCGCCTCCGATAATATTATCTCTTCTGCTCCTATTTGCGATAGCTGTTGACGGGGTAGCTCGTTCCATCGCCTCTCCTTTCAATATATGTTATCTTGATGCAACGTTGGGAGGATCCATCGAGGCCGTAGCTGCTGACATCCGACGAGATATTCCTGCTTTATCTCTGCTTGGACTTGAGGTTAACTCGTCCAAATCAGAGATAATAAACTTGAATTATACTGCAGATGATTTCGAGAGTGCTATCCGGTATATTAGACTCATCCTCGAGGATATAAAAATAACACCTAAGGAGGAATTACACATTATTTTTTCTCCAGTTTTTCCAATGGTCGTCCGATAGTGTTTGAATATTAAGCATGTCATTCTAACAAGAATGACTGAGAAATTGCAATTAATTGATGCACATCCAGCCCTCACCCTCGTGAATAACAGTTTTTCGTTACCGAGATTCCTCTACACTCTCCGAGATGCCCCTTGCTACCTCGAACAGGATTTCTTAAATGAGATAGATATCACAATTAAGAGATACGCGGAGCTAATTTACAACCTTAATTTCGACGACACTGGGTGGAGGCAGGCAAAGCTCCCTTTGAATTTTGGAGGCCTGGACCTTCGATCAGCGGTAGATTTGGCCCTTCCAGCTTATCTTTCTTTACTTTCGATCAGTCGCGAATTAATTGATGAGATACTCGGTGGATCGTCTCAGTGTTTCTCGGATAGTTCTTTCGAACAAGCTTACTTTCTATCCCACTAGACACATCAAAACAAAAGAAACTGGGATAAAATAAAATGCGAGGCCAATTTTACTAATCTGAGGCTCTCTCTGGATCAGCATCGCCTCGCCTCGCCTGTCTACTGTCTGCTTCACAACCGAATGCAGTGTCCTCTTCATCTACCGGTACCCTTCTAGATGATGAGTGCACTCGGGTCGGAGTTGCGATCTGTCTTGGACTCAAATTATGTAAGCGTCACAGATGCAGATATGGAGATTCCATCGATGAGTTTGGTTTGCATCCTCTCTCCTGTCGTAGTAGTTCCGGCCGCTTTCCACGGCATGCAGCAATAAACGACATCATCAGAAGAGGTTTGGGTGCAGCTGGGTTCCCTTCCCAAATCAAACCCGTAGGCCTCGACCGCGGTGACGGAAAGCGGCCGGATGGCATTACTATTTTCCCTTTTTAAATGGGGAATTCATTGATTTGGGATGCGACCTGTGCCGATAAATTTTCGGCCGGTAATTTGATCAGGCCCGCGGTTGAGCCGGGGTCTGTCGCCCGAGACACAGAGATAAAAAATTAGTTAAATATTCTTCTCTTGCTGATAGATTTTTTTACTCCTGTACTAGTAGGGACTTCAGGGGTTATTGGCCCTCGTTCGATGGCGTTCCTTTGGAGGATTGGCGCGATTTCGTATCGATTAAGGGACGAGCCTCGCGAAACGGAGTGGCTCTTGCAGCGTGTCTCACTGGCGATGGTTTGAGCTAATGCTTTCTCCATCATTGCGGCTGGCAGAGGATAGAAAAAAATGTTTATAGTTACTTTGTTCAAAATTATTTTTCAATAAATAAATTTCTCACTGTTAAAAAATGTTAACATCAAACAATATAAAACAGACGCTGATTAATAACGGATTTCCTAATCATTTGTTGGATTTCCACATTAGGCGTTTTCTATCTAAGGTAGCTAATAGCAACGGCGAGAACAGAAACATAAACAATAACATCAATATTTTTTATAAAAACTCAGATGAACGAAAATTATAAACAGGATGAGAGCAGAATTAAGAACATTATAAAAAAATGCATAACACCAGTTGACAATAAAAAAAGTTAGATTAATTATTTATTACAAATAATTTAAAACCTCTAACCTTATAGTTAAAAATAATAATTCAACTCCTAGAACAAAATTAAATAGGGCAAATATTATTTAAGAATTTAAATGCCAATTAAGGAATTGTATTCCTGATCAATCAAAATTCGTAAATAATTTTATAGGCCACACTACAACATGTTTGACACACAGAATCACTCTACACCTTTCTGGCCATAGCTCAAATAGATCTCATTTAAATATTCATGGAGACCTACCGGACACTATTCGTAACATTCTTGTTGACAACACAAATATAATAGCATCATCTACATGCAAAAAACGGCTAAAAATAATGGAAGCCTTATTAAAAAAAAAACAAAAAAAAACACTTAATAATATTAACTTTGAACATGGACACAATATCTTGACCGTGTTTTGTAAAATGAAAACATTTTATAAAATATACATACAACAAAGTATTTCTTATTTAACAGTTAAAATATTTAATCCTTGAAAATGGCTAAATGTATAGCCGAAAGCGCTCGGATAAAAGAACATTCGAACAGTTATTATATAATTTATCAACCGAAAAGAAGAAAAAAATTATAAGCTCGCATGAGAAATTGTATAAAAACTAAATAAAAACACCGTGTCTGAATACGACAGACACAGTGTTTTTATTTAGTTTTTATACATACACACAAATATATATATATATATATATATATATATATATATATATATATATAAACTAAATAAAAACACCGTGTCTGTCGTATTTAATGAAATATGCATATATATATATATATATATATATATATATATATATATATATATATATGCACATTTCATTGAATACGGCAGACACGGTGCTTTTATTTAGTTTTTATACATAACATAGCAACTGAAAAATGAACAACCAAACTAAGAAAACGAATAATATATATATATATATATATATATATATATATATATGCACATTTCATTGAATACGACAGAAACGGTGTTTTATTTAGTTTTTATACATACATACATACATATATATATATATATATATATATATATATATATATATATATATATATATTTGTGTGTGTGTGCATACTATGTGGACATAGTAACCCCATATACTGTTGATTTTTTTTCCTCATAAGTATTTAGCAAAAAACATTAATTTTAAATAATTTTGCAAGAGAAATGCAATATAAACATAGGTAAATATTGTCAGTGGTTATGAATAAAGTAACTGCTATTGTCAAAATTGGGCTAATATATTTTGTATGTTTGACAGAGTTACTGCGTCTCAAAATACAAATATGACGTTGGCGGATAATCATATGTTAAATATGGCAGTGTTACGTAAGATGTTTCAATGATTCCTGAGTCGATATTTTTTTTATATATTTTTGCATAATGGGTGCTAAAAATCTAAAAACAGTAGTAGTTATCCGTAGTTTTCGTTTTACGGGCCATCCTTGGTATAATTTTAAAGTACATCCGGCAGCAAAGCATCTGATTGGGAGGTTTTGAATAGCGTGGAATCACCTGTTAATTGCTGTTGTTCTCAAATCTAACCTGATTCAGGACAGTTGCACCTGATAATATCCAAGCTACGGGCAAATTATTAACCTCCAAACTTGGGTTAAAATCTGAAAATATAAAAATACATTAGAAAAAAAATAACAGCAATAAATTATTGGAAAAAAATTAAATAATCACCAGCAATACAGTTTGGAAAAAATTTACCAAATCGCACCTGTTCTGGGTATGACGATACACTACATCTGCGTACTTGGTAAGACGATACGCTCCAAAACAAGGCCTCTGAACAGGGGGTTTTGTGTAGCGTGGAAGCATCTCTTAATTGCTGTTGTTCCCAGGTAAACCCTGTCACGGGGTGGTAATTTCTGTTAGGGTCCAAGCTTTCGGCAAATGGTCAAAAACTGGCGTAAAAAAACATTACGAAAGTGTAAAAATAGATTTTAATACCAGAAATACCTTGTAAAAATTATTTCCAGCATTAAATATTTGAAAAAAAAAATATTGCCAACAATACATTATTACAAGCAATACATTTTTGAAAAAACATATTACCAGCTATACATATTTCAAAAATAAAAGCAAAGAAAATTACCACCTTTAAGTTTTTGAAGAAAAATATTACCAGAAATAGATTACTTGAAGAAAAAATATTGCCAGAAATAGATCTTTGAAGAAAAAAATATTGCCAGAAATAGATTTTTAAAGAAAAAAGCTATTACCAACAATATATTTTTGGAAAATAATATTCCTAGCAATTAAAATTTTGTCGGCATTAATTAACCCATTGAGGTTGATGCCGTAAAACAAGCCAAATGAAACCAAACCAAACCAAAACAAACCAAACAAAACCAAACCAAATAAAACCAAACCAAATACACAATTAGGCATTAAATTGCCCATACGGGTTTGATATGCAATGAAACAAACAAACCAAAAGCTGCTCGGCCCGGGGGCAATGATCAAAGTGTAGTACGCTGCCTTTGTGAGCTTCCGAGTCGGCGTCTGTCGAACTCTCTGCATTAGCAGAGAGGAACTCGGACGAAGGGAAAGGTTTCGTTCGGGGAGGTAGACAGGGCCTGAATCCGTCTAGGCGGGTTCAAAAAGGCTATATTTTTGGCCGAGCCTACGGGCTCGGGGATACCCACATTAAACCGGCCTTGTGACACATTCTATCCTCGTGGGTGGATTGATAAATACTAAACAAACAAACCAAACCTCTTTAGGATTGGGTTTATCCGTTCCTTATGAAATATTTATTTTACTTCCAGTAGGTCCCTTTATCTTAGTGAAGTTATCTTCTTACTTTGGTTGAAGTGATTAAAAAAAGGCTCTGTCTGTATTGATCATCTTAAATTCCGTTTTTTTTTTTTGCCTTCCATCAGTATAGCTGATGCTAACTTTCAGGAGAACACGTCACCGTGCCGTCTTGATCTCACATTTTCCACTCACAGTGTAATAGTTGCATTGTATCAATTGTTAAGTCGGTTAGGAAAATCGGTTCTCTACGTCAGCATCGTATATATCTTGCATATTTACTCTTTATCCATGCATGGAATAATGCTCTGCTATATATAGTCTTTGACTTCTGTTTTATATCTGGATATTTCTGAAAAAATAAAAGGGAGAATCGGTAACATTTTCGGCGCTGACTTGACATCTTAACTTCAGTCATTTCTCCCATCACCGTAACGTATCTTCCCTTTCTCACTCCTATAAATATTTCCAGTATAATTGTTCTGATCAGTTTACATCTTTGGTACATCGCCTTCACGAACTTAAACGTAGTATTAGATTAACAGCTAGGTTTCGTAATTTTAGTATTAAAATTACAAGTTGTTCTCACAATTCTTTGCTAATAGCTTTTTCTCCTGAATTTCGCTGTTTTACAATTCTCTTCCTGTTTCAAAAATTTCAGTTCACTGTCAATCCTTAAATTCCATCTCCTTGTAAACCGTTATTTTATTGTCCTTTCTATCTCTTTTACTCTCCTTAAGCCATTCAATGCTAGTCGCATTTATCGTCTTGCTTGTGGTGAAATGATTAAAAAAATAATTATCATGTTTTGGCTCGAATGTGTATTTCTCTATCTTCCTCTCTCTTTCTTTCTCTCTCTCTCTCTCTCTCTCTCCCCGCGTGCTTGATTTAGTGTAATTGTAACTACTGTAAACTTTAAGACCGAATTTAGAAGTCCTTAAGTGGAATATTTTTTCTTCGTATTTAACTTTTATTTACCACTTTAATTCTAGACCTATCCTTACCGTATTATTTTAAAAGGATTTTTATTGAACTTGTTATGGTTTCAGACTCTCACTTTTATTTCGAAATCCCAGCCGTTCCTTTCTATTGATCTTCAGGCAAACTGCATGTGTCCTTAACCAGTCAATGTGATAAATCCTTC